GGGGAATTTCACTGTCTTCAGTTTCCGGTCCCCCCCCCCCCCCCCCGCTCCTTGCTGGCATCTGTGACGCAGCCAAGTTGCCACTTAAGTCTTGTGACTCCGAGGCTGGCTCCTCCTCGGCCAGGGCGTGAGTCTCGGTGTCCTGGTGACAGTGGCTGGGCCCAGTGTGACTTGGTTTCCCCTGTGCGTCTTCTCACCAGGAGGGGACTAGCACGTGGTGACCCCCCCCCATTCCTAGGTCCATTGAGGTGACATCGCCAACACACCACTCCCCCCCACAAATCCCCCAAAACCGATTCCTCAACTGCCTTTTTCACACTGAATATGCAGAGGCTGACAGGTGCCATGGCGACCCGTGGGGACCCCGAGGAGGAGCAGGTCGTCCCAAGTGAAGAGGACGAAGCGGACGTGAGGGCCGTGCAGGCCCGGTACCTCCTGCGGAGCCCCTCGCCCAGCCAGTAAGTGCCGCTGGGGGTGGGTGAGGGAGCGTGCCCCCAGGACAGCCACCCCTAAGGCAGTGATGGCGAACCTATGACACACGTGTCAGAGGTGACACGTGAACTCATTTTTTTGGTTGATTTTTCTTTGTTAAATGGCATTTAAATATATAAAATAAATATCAAAAATATAAGTCTTTGTTTTACTATGGTTGCAAATATCAAAAAATTTCTATATGTGACACGGCACCAGAGTTAAGTTGGGGTTTTTCAAAATGCTGACACGCCGAGCTCAAAAGTTTCGCCATCACTGCCCTAAGGCCACTCATCAACAATGTCGGGGAGTTCTCTCTATGTGCTGTCCCTTCTGGAGGCGCGGACACCCGGCGACCGCCCGGCAGGGTTCCCAGTGAGTGCTAGGATCCTGCCTGGGGCCCAGTGTGCCCTGGGCTGCGGGCAGGAACCACTGCACTTGGAAGGGGGTGGGAGGTTCCTGGAGGAGGGATGCTGGTCCCGACCTTGACGGGTGCCCAGGATCTGACGGTGTAGCTGAGGGTGGTGCCTGGATCGCTGGGAGGACCAGAGACTGAGATGCTGCAGGAGCGGAGAGGCCCGCGGCCAGCCTGGCACTACGGTAACTGGAACATGTGCCTGCCCGGGGACAAGGGCGTGTGCCCAGCGCACGTCCCACGATGCACTTCCTGGAGAGTCCCCTTTATTTTATGACAATTTAACATGCAATCACTGAAAATACATTATGATGTAAGTGAAAGATTTTCACGATGTTTTAAGGAAAACCATGAGGCAGCAAAGAAATGCTGCGGTGCCCGCTGTAGCGATAGTGTGTGTGCCCACGTGCGTTTTCTGCCACAGGTCACAGTAGGGGCCTGACGCCTCATTTTAGCTCCGCCACCACATCTATGTGCGGAGTCACTCTGATTCTTGAGCCTGTCTTCTTATCTGTGAAACAGGAAGGAGAGCCCCAACTTTATGTCTCAAGGTCAGCTGACCTTGAAGTACCCACGAATCCGCTTCACCTCAGTCCTCTGGGGTCTTGTGGGCTCCTGCTTCTCAGGGCCCGAGGCTTCCCCACAGGAGGGGGGTGGGGGACATAGGTGGACGCTCGTCACTCAGGGGCTTTAGCAGACTGTGTCCTGCTTACGGACTTTGGGGCCATGGGCTGTTCTCAGGCTTATAACACCCAAAGGCTTTTTAAGGCTCATGGTTTCTTTAAAAATATGACCCCTTCATAGGTGTCTGATCTGCATAGACCAGACACCTCCCTGAGTCAGGACCACGCCAGGTTCTTCCTCACATAGGAGTTTCCATCCCGATTTTCTGCTTTGCTCTCTGGGGCCTCATCTCTCAGCTGCGCGACGCTCGCCGGAGAGGTTTTCTGAAACCCTGAGCCTGAGTGGGAAGTCCAGGATGGATGTTGTAATCTCTACTGTAATTGTTGAAAGTTTCACAACAGAATGTATAACTAACAATCTAATGAGGGGAAGCTACAGTGATAAAATGTAACCAATGCAAAATGAGGCAAGAAAGAAGAGGAAAAAATATAGAAAATAATAAGAAAACAATAAGAAAAGCATAATAAATAATAAGAAAAAGCATAAGAAATAAGAAAATGGTAGACTTAAACCCAAATATATAAGTAATTACATTAAACACAAATAAACTAAATATTATAATTAAAAGACAAAAACTGTCAGACTCGATGTTTGAAAAGCCTATATACTGCTTAGAAGTAAAGCTACACACAGGTTCACAAGGGGGAGAAAGTCTACACCACGCTGTTCCAGCTACGATTGCTCAGGACTCCAAGGCTTAGTGACACGAAGCAGCCATTTTATTGCGTTCACCCCAGGAACCTGGACAAGGGACAGTGTGTGGCTGGCCTTTGCCGCAGGATGTCCGGGGCCTCAGCTGGAAAGCTGTGAAGATTGGGGTGACCTGCAGGCTGGGGGTGACTCCACAGCTGGGCCTGGGATCGTAGAGGCATCGTCACAGGTCTGGCGCTTCCTGTCGGTCAGACACCTAACGTGGTCTTTTCATCTGATGGCTCCGTGTGGGCCAGTTTGGGCTTTCTCATAGCCCAGTCGCTCAATTCAAGAGTTAGCATCCCAGAGAACACGACAAGAGTGCATCAGGTTTTAAATGTAGCCTCGCTGGGCCAAATGGCAGTTCCATAGGTAATTTTCTGAGGAAACTCCGTACTGTTTTCACAGTGGCTGCACCAGTCTGCATGCCCCCCAGCAGTGCACGAGGGCTCCCTTGTCTCCGCATTCTCGGGACACTTGTCATTTGTGGATTTGTTGATGGGGGCCATTCTGACAGGTGTGAGGTGATACCTCATTGTCATTTTAATTAGCATCTCTCTGATGATAGTGACTTTGAGCATTTTTCATATGTCTCTTGGCCATTTGTATGTCCACTTTGGAGAAGTGTCTATTTAGGGACATTTGACTCAGTGATCCCACTTCTAAGAAGCTTGAAACTCCAATTAGAAAGAATGTATGCCCCCCTATGTTCATAGCAGCGCTATTTACAATAGCTAAGATCTGGAATCAGCCCACATGCCCATCAGCAGATGAGTGGATAAAAAGCTGTGGTACATTTACACCAGGGAATACTATGCAGCTGTTAAAAAGAAGGATCTCTTGCCTTTTGAAAGAGCATGGAAGGACCTGGAGGAAGACAAGTATCACGTGATCTCACTCAGATGTAGAATCTAAAGAACAAAATAAACTGGCGAACAAAATAGATTCAGAGACATAGAAGCACGGAGCAGACTGTGGAATCTCAGAGGGAAGGGAGGGGGTGCGTGTGTGGTGGGGAAGAGATTAACCGAAGAACTTATATGCACGTATGCACAACCCATAGACTCAGACAATAGTGTGGTGAAGGCCTGGGGTTGGGGGCAGGTGTGGGCTAGCAGAGGTCAATGAGGGAAAAAGGGGGACGTCTGTAATACTTTCAACAATAAAGATACACTTTTTAAAAGGAGGCTGGCTCGTCCCAGGTTCGATTCCAGTCAAGGGCATGTACCTTGGTTGCGGGCACATCCCCAGTGGGGAGTGTGCAGGAGGCAGCTGATCGATGTTTCTCTCTCATCGATGTTTCTAACTCTCTATCCCTCTCCCTTCCTCTCTGTAAAAAATCAATAAAATATATTAAAAAAAAAAAATAATAAAAAAAAAAAAAATAAAAGGAGGCTGGCTCGGAAGTCACATAGAGGACCACAGGTTCGAAAGGAGGGCCATGGACTCCAGCCCTGCACTGGAGGAGTGTCCAGGTTCCGCTGTAGGGAGAGCACGAGGGTGGGACACGCCGGGCCATCTCTGGAAAAGGCCACCGACAGGACCAAGAGCAGGCCAGGGGCGCTGCTTATTGGCATCAGCCCGAGGGGACAGGTGCTGGAGACAAAGAGGGAAGTTTCGTGACGATCCAAGGTCCGGTTCACAGCGAGATATAATTATTTAAAATTTCTATGAGCTAATAACATAGCCTCAGAATATAGAAAACAAACAAACAAAAAAAGGACAGAACTGAATACAAAATTAAAATCCACAATCTTAGTCAAATGTATATTTTTTACAAAACGATCTCAGCAACGGATAGAATGAGACAAAAAAACATTAAGAATATGGGAAGTTTTATAACTGGCAATTAACAGCCACAGGATGTATGGCACAGTGTAGGGAGCATAGTCAATATTGTGGTAACTATGTCTGGAGCCACTTTGTAAGGTATATAAATGCCTAATCTCTATGCTGTACACCTGAAATTAACATAATAGTGTATGTCAACTGTAATTTAAATAAATTAAAAAATATATCTATAAGAAGTGTGAGCAAAACAGTAAACATAATTAATCTAATTGGCATTTATACACCATGTACCCAACAATCACAGAATACACATTCTTATCACGCACCCATGGCACGTTTACCAAAACAAATTGCATACTGGGCACTACTTCATTTATCGACACATCTTTAATTATACAAAACATGTTTTCTGACCAGTTGAGACTTAAGCTAGAAATCAATAAAAACAAAAATATATAATAGAAATTCAAAGGAAAACTACAACTCAATACTATTACATACTCACCAGACCATCTAAAAGTAAAGCCCAGCGATAGCAAATATTAATGAGGATGTGAAATCGCTGGTGAGCGTGTAAATTAGTACAACGATTTGGAAAACGATTTCCTAGTATCTACTAAGACCAAGCCTACGCCTGTCCTATGACCCAGCAGGCTCACTGCTGGTCCGTACTTCACAGAAATAAGTCCTTCTGTGCCCAGAAGAATGTCTTAGCAGCTATAGTGACTGAGGATACAGAATGTGAACAACATGACGAACTGTCTAGTGAAGAGTAGCCAGCTAAGTAACGTCTGCACATACATTGTGTTGCCCTGGGGGCGGGCATTGTATGAAGTGCCTATCCCCTGGGTGTGGTGAGCGCCTCAGATCACTGGCTGGGGAAGGAAACCAGTGAGACCTGGAGTAGAGGAGGAGGGTCGGTCTCCTTTTTCTGTTTCCTTGACCGGAATCGAACCCAGGACCCTTCAGTCCTTGGGCCGACGTTCTATCCACTGAGCAAACCGGCGAGGGCACGTTTCCTGTTGTTTCTTGTTGAGTTGAAGTCCGTTTCTTGCTTTGGTTTTCTGGGTCTGAGCTGTCAAGCTTTGCAGCTTTTTGGAATTCCTTGGTGGTCGTCAGGCCGTCTCCCGTGGTGGCATTTCCATCCACCGTCAGTGATGCTTCTAGCTGGGCTCTGCGGCTGTTCCCACGCTGAGGTCCACGTGCGGGAGTGGCAGGTGGCGGCTGGCCGTGGGCGTCGGGTCTGAGCGGCCTCGGGAAATGGCTCCTCCTGGCTACGCTTTCTCCTTTACCTTTCTTTCCCCGTGACGACCTCTCCGCCTCACTCTTTCTCCGGGCCTCCTGGACGCAGCCTGCGAAGCATCGATTTGCTTTCGTTTATGTCTCCGCTCCTTCCTCTGGGCCTGC